AAACGCTGTGAATTAAGTAAATGGAAGAGAAGAAACTTAGCAGATTACTGAAAGTGTGCAAAAACAACAAAAACTATTAAAATCGACCTAAATTATAGCTAGAGCGTCACAAACATTTATTTGTTTGACTAAGTAAAAATGCTAGAAATCATCCTTGCAGTAATTTGTTACAAAGTAGTTACATTTTCATGGGCTTCGTCTGTACAGTGACAGCCATTCCATTCAAGAAGAATGGCCAATTCAAGTGCGAAGAATTATGTTGGGCTGCATCCTGTGCATTATGGATATCAAATATTTGTGACGTGTTTGCACGGAAAGAGCTATTAACTTAAGTTCCATGTGATATGGATAAGTGTTTTTTGTAAGAAGACCAATGTGTTGTTCCAGCAAGATAGTACCAGTAGTAATATTATTTCTCTGTAAAGGGTTAAGTAAGTCGGTATTAATTAACCACACATAGAATATTTTTTTAAACTTGCTTACTTAGTTAATCCTTAATCACATTTTCTTTATCATTACAGAGAGGAAGGTTGTTCTTAACAAACAAAACTTCGGACAAAAATCGATAGTTTTCAGTTATCCAAAATAAAGAAAACGGCTTTAATAATTTTCTTTTATTGTGAGGAAATGGGCATCTTTTTAAAATAATTTACAAAGTTTGTTTTACAGTTGTATGCGGTTGATCGTTATATACCATCGAGATACAAGAACATAAGTAATTTCATCATTACAAGAGCATCATTATATTTTTAAGTCTGACTTACTAACAATGCAAAGGAATAGACATCCTAAATCGTTACTGAAACTGTTAAAAGACATTACGGCATGGCCAGGTGGTTAAGGCACTCGACTCGCAATTTGAGGGTCGCGGGTTCGAATCCCTGTCACACCAAACATGCTCGCCCTTTCAGCCGTGGGGGCGTTAATAATGTGACGGTCAATCCCACTATTCGTTGGTAAAAGAGTAGCCCAAGAGTTGGTGGTGGGTGGTGATGACTAGCTGCCTTCCCTCTAGTCTTACACTGCTAAATTAGGGACGGCTAGCGCAGATAGCCCTCGTGTAGCTTTGCTCGAAATTCAAAAACAAACAAACAATAAAAGACGTTAAAGTATGAACTTAGCTAAATAGGCACAGCCGATTTCTTTGGAACAAAAAAGTGTTCAAAAACAAACATTGCTGTTCTTAAAACAGTCATCTGCGTGTGAAGGGGATTTAGTTTGTTCGTTTTCAATTTCATATAAAG